ACCCTTGTCTGCTAGCCGTGCTAGGCTCTGCCAACAGGAGGCGTTAGAGGGAGCCTGAGAGGCCGGGACAGTAGAAGGGCAAGGTCTTGTTTGTCCCCAGACCTGTCCGTGTCCACGGACACAGCCTTCACCCTGGCGGCAGCTGGCACCAGTTTCCAGCTTCGAAAAAAAAAAAAATTGGCATTCCCAGAGCCAACCATATTGTGTCCCCGCCCTGGGCTCCCGGACAGCAGGTGCTCCTCTCTGAGCCTGACAGGGCCTTTCCTTCAAGCATCTGGATTCCAACACCCCCAACTTTTTCCCTTTGTTCTTTTGGCCTTAGGGGGTAGTAACTGCCTCAGGTCATCACTAGCTCTGCACTGAAAAGAAACGGCAGCTCCCTTCAACAGCAGTCACAGCACAGAGTGAGAGAAGCCGGACACAAAAGAGCACATATTGTGTAATCCCATTTGTATGAAGTTCAAAACCAGGCAAAGCTAATCTAAGGTGAGAGAGATCACCTGAGAGCTTCTCTTTAATGAGAGCTATCAACAGGATTCTTTCCATCTCTTGACCTTGATGATGGTTTATTGAGCTCTACATTTAAAATTTGTGTGCTTTCCTGTGTGTGGAAAGTGATTCAGTGTGTGTTCCTGACTGAACCCCAGTTGGTTCAGAGAGAGGCCAACTAGCCGACTAGAAAGTCTCCGTAGGTACACCCAAACCTAGTGGCAATAGAAGGAGGAGAGAAATCCTGTGATTTTTCAAAGTAACAGTGCAGAGAAATCAGACAGGCCCCATAGGGCATCACAAAGAGTGGTACTGATCTGAGGGTCAGAGAAAGCCAATCCTGTGCAGGTGTCTTACGGAAACTAAAAACACTAAAAATACAGACTAACCCAGATGAAACCGGTTATTGAAACAAAAATAAGGAAAACCTCCTAATGTAGTTCTAAGGATCTATCTGTCTGTATTTGACATACTTTGTCAATACAAATTATGTATTTCTTTGTATTGGGCAGGTTAAAAGTATCTGAAAAGAAATTTAATTATATGTCTATTATAAATACCGATCAGACGCTGTTAGCGCTATGGTACATGTCCTTTATCTCCACACCAACCGGAGAGGGTAAGGGTTGCTGATGCCCTTTCCCAGAGGGCATGCTGACTTTCAGACAGGAAAGTTCACGTTGAAGGCCACACCATCAGTGGTAGAAATGGCTTCTAACTTGGGCCCATCCAACTCCAGAGGAAGTTCTCTAGAACCAGTTACAGCTGAAGTGAGGAGAGCTGACGGCTGCAAACCAGCCCCAGTTTTAAAAAATCAGTCAAGAGTTGAGAACAGAGTCTTGGATGAGATAGCCTCATGTAATAAGTTATTGCTGTTTCAAATGTTCCTGTGATCATTCTGCACACATATGTATACACACACACGTGGTAATTTATATACATGTTACAGATGGCAATCAGTCTTCCACAGCTATTATGTCTACTGAGTAAATAATGTCTTGTGTAGCCTATGATTTTTCCTACATGAAACAACCTACGCTTCAGGATGGTTGAAACTGAGATGCAACATTTCTGTTTAAAATCCATCTTAAGGCTGCCACCATGCACTTTCCCCTCGTTTTATCATCCCTCATTTAAGAGCGCTTTCTTGAAAACATTAATTTTAAATTTCTTGTTCTTGATTGGAGTCTAGTTCCTTCAGTTTGGGGCATAAATGTGGAAGGCATTCTGAAGATGTAACTGTGAAAAACACAGTGACCCTCACTGCCAACTCCCTCCTTAAAACTGTAAAGTTATCTCTAAGTCCTGTTGTCATGGAGCCCTGGGGTTCTAACAGTCAAAAATACTGAACTTCTTGGATAGGAGTCACTGTTTCTCTAGGGTTTCATTCTCCCATTTTCTCGCCGATAAAGGATTCTCTCCAGAAGAACAGAGGGCAAAGAAAAGCAAATGCAAATCATGCACTAAAAAATGTTTATCTAGGTATCTTTAATTTTCAGGAAAAGAGTTAATAATTTCTCTTTGTCATCTCTCCCCAACAACCCCTTCAAAGCACTTGAAGTCCAGTGACATTCATGTTTTCAATTAAGAGAAAAATTTCAGAAGGCAAAGAAATTTTCTACATAAGTATTTTGGAATAGGCTGAATGAAAATAGCTGATCTCTGGCTCTTAAAAACAAACAAACAAACAAAAAAACACAGAGAGAGAAAGGGCGAGGGGTAGCAGGGTGGAAATGTCCTCAAGGCTCTAGCATCTGAGAAGGAAAAGAAAAGGAGGATTAAGGTTGAGTGGTGAGGAATGGTGTTCTCATTTGTATGCATGATTTATTCCTCCTTGCAATATTTAGGCTGCTCCTTTTAAAAATGCAACTGGGCAGGCCTCTGGGAGCCCGCACACCCCCACCGCCCCTCCTACCCCGTTGTTAAAGCCACTGTCCTCCTCCCTGCCTTGAGCTTCCTCCACTCAAGATTATACAGCTTTTTCAGATGCTTTGATTTGTCTCCTGCTCAAGAGGCAAGGGAAAGAAGCCGAATGGGGAAGGGATCATAGATTTTAAAATCCTAGAAAGTTCCTTTAGCCATTACCGCTGATCCATTATTTACTTAGCAGTCCAGGAGAGCGGGCAGGTTCCTGGGCCGCTCCTTGTCCATCCTAATGACTGACAGGGTTAGTCGGATGTCTCTGTCTGCCCGTCATAATAATCGCTCTCCCCAAATTCCGGCAACCTTCTCCAAGCTGGAGCAGAAGCCTGCCGTGGACAGTGTAGGAAAATACACATTATACATTTTAATGGGGCAGCTCTGACCGAGGGAGCCCAGGCTGAGTTAGTGAGAAGCCTGGATGCCCAGGTCCCTTAAACAGAAACAAACATCCCTTTTAAGCATTTGAAAAGCTGAAGCAATGGAAAGCCAGCACGCTGCTCATTCATTTAAATGGCTTTTAAATGAATCACTGCGGGTCTGGGTCCGCATGGTAGCAGACAAATGTGAATTTGCGGGAAACAGAGCCTCTGACGCAGACAGGGAGTCCTGTGAGTGCTGTTACCAGGAGGGGGCCAAACCCTTCCCTGCTCCAAATGTGAGCACCACTGAAACTTTTCTCCCCTGTGTCCATTTGCGGACGTCCACGCTACCTTTCCTCGCTAGCTTAGATCCAAAGGTCATGGTTTCTTCAGTTAATACTTCTGAAGGTAACTGAAACCTGAATATGTACCCAAACAAGGAGAAAGGATCAGCCATGGAATTCATGAAACTGTGCAGTCTGGAGAAAAACGAGCTCAAGGTAAGTTTAATATAGGAAATATAAGTCAAGCATCTAGGAACATAGAAGAGGAGCGCTAGCCTGAAACTGGGAAGACTGCAGAGTAGGTAGGTCAGACCCACGTGCATTTGTCTTAAGGGTCTTCTTGCCACTTTGGATGTTGGTATTATTGTGAAATTGTACCTTTTCTAGCCACAGCAGGAATGGTAGGAGATGCTTAGTTTCCCTGGGGCCCTTAAATGGACAGAAAAGAGCTGGTTAATTTCTTCTTCCTTACAATCAGAGGGTCTTTCTGTCCCACACTGAGAGGTAGAGAAATCCCCAGAACCATCATGTACCAAAAGTTTAGATACAGAAGAAAATGTACAGCAGCAAACTATTTTCCAATCTGTGACTGTTCCTTTTAAAATTTTATTTATTTTCTTACCCCCAGCTGACTTTAAAATATTCCTACAGGCACAAACCACACCTTACAGATTCTGATTTTATGATAGTAAGGAAGGTATCCTTAAACCAGCCGTCTGACCTTTTACACTGACAGCTAAACTTCTTGAGGTTTTACCAAAATTGAAAAGGTCTGAGGGTCCCTCCAGTGATGTTATTTATACTTTTAGAAAGACCAGGTAGCACTAAGTGAAGAACTCATTTATTAAAGTGTACTTATGCTTTAATTGAATTTAATAGCATACAGAACAGAGAAGCAAGCGCTTTCCCTGGTCCTTCCATGTTTAAGAAAAGGCTGTGGAATATGTAACAGAGGGACTCCTGCATCAGGTAAGGGTGGGCTAGATCAGGGATGGTTGAGCTAAGACCAATAGCCAAATCTGGCCCACTGCCTGGTTTTCATGGCCCAAGGGTTCAGAATGGTTTTTACATTTTGAAATTGTTGAGGGGCGGGGAAAAAAGCCAAGTATTTTGTGACATGTGAAAATTTTATGAAATTCAAACATTGGTGTCCATCAGCAAGGTGTCATTGGAACATGGCAATACTCATTTTTTATGTGTCCCCTATGGCAGCTTTTGTGTGACTGGTAGAGTTGCATGGTTGGTGGAGACCATGTGGCCTGCCAAACCTAAAGTATTTCCTCTCTAGCTCCTTCAGGGCGGGGTTGGGGGTGGTGGGAGGGGTGGGGAGTAGTTGCAGTTTGCCAGTCTCTAGGCTGAGTGATCTCTGAGGTCCTTTTCACCTCCACATTTCTAGGGATTTTACTTCTTTAGATAACCGAGGATCCTCCCTCAAAGAGAAGGGATGGAACATGCATTAGCCACATATATAATAATCCCAAAAGACTGTCTCTTGTGTTGTCAACACTTCCCATGGAATACATAAAATAATACTCATGCCTAGAATATACATATAAACTTCCCAGGTATTGATTACTGTTAAAGGTAAGCTCTTCATTCTAGAGAACAATATTTATCCTTTTTTTTGCAATTTTATGATGCTAACAGTCTTAACAAGCCATCTGCAAAGTTACCAAGTAAAAAATGAAAAAACCCAACTCCCTTGGAATTCATACCATAAAATATTTATTAATAAGTAAAATGATGTCCCCTGCCTTTGTTATTTAAAAAGATTTGACTGCACATCTCTGTTGATAGCGCTTACCAACAATGCTTTCACATCATTCAGTCATGAGAGAGAGGGAGAGGAAGGACAGATAGGGAGAGAATAGGCTAGACAGAGGATGGATGAGTGGACGGATGGATGGATGGATGGATAGATAAATAAACTGCAGGTATAAACGTGTGAAAGACCACACTTTACAATATTTTAATTGCAAACTTCAGTTTTGCCAGCAGTTGGAAATTTGCTTGCACATACTTAGACTTATTTCTTTTAAGTAAACAATACACAGACTCACTTGAATTTCATAATTCAGATCATTAGTAATGAATACAGTGCTTGCTGAGGACTAAAAGAGAGAGGAAAACAAAAACTAACTTTGTGGGGGAAGAAAGGCAGTATCTCTTTGAAAAGCTTTTCTCTTGACTCAACAGTCCCCACTGCCTGAAAAATAAGCCATTTTGATAACAAGAGTATAAAAAGCCTTATGATTTGCAAAGTAAATTCTATTCGTGGTTTAAATTTCATCCCAAGTCTCAGGTTATGGCTGAGAAGCCAGATGAAGCATCTTTGTAAAGCATTTCTTTGAGTTTTTATAGGGAAACAAGAAAATGTTTTATCAGATCTAGGCAGAAATCCTGATCTTCATTTATAACAGTAATTACCTGCGCATGGTACTACGGAGACACGGAGATTCAAAAGCCAAACAGAATGAATGCCAAGCCATACCACGGTAAAATTCAAAGTAACCCAGAGCAGCAGCAGGTGAGAGTTTATGATTTCAATATAAAAACATCTAATTGCTTCTTCTCAGATGTCACTGTGAAGTCAGCAAATTAGAGGGTACTATCGAGAGTGAGATGAATGGGTGTATTACTACACCAGCCGCTCCTTCCAAGCTTAAAATAATCCCAGAGTTCTGTAATGCCATTAGTTAAGTAACTATACAATTTCTTTCGGTCTCGTTTTAATGTAGAAAATCACTTTGTAATAAGATCTCTACACAAGGTAAAAAAAGCACAAAATAGACCCCAAAAAAAGCACAAAAATAGACAAAATATATAGATCTTTTTACAATGAAATTAAGATGTGCCTGGGAAACACTGAGATCAAGGACTAATCTCAGGGAGTTCCAACTGGCTGTCCTTTCATCATAGTTCTGTTCTTTAGGTCTTCCCCTGAAACTTGGATGCTTATAAGAATCTTCCCCAGGTCAAGGGGAGGGAACAGGTGTTCTGACCTGTGTTTGACCTTTGTCAAAAAACAAAAAAGAAACACTAATAAGGATATAATGAAACCCCTTAGTCTACCCAGTTACAAAACTCCTCTGACAGCCATAATTCCAGGGCACTTAAGGCCTTGATCTGTCACACAACCAAGGGCAACAACACAGTCATCTCCAAGTGATGCTTTTTTCCATCATAAATTGATCATGCACTGGGATGAAACGTACGCAGAAAGGCTAATTCGGGAAGAGGTGTTTTCATACACTTGGGGGCCAAATGAAGTCCTCCAAAAGAACGGGGCTGTCTGCACCAGCAAGGTGGAGGACTTCCTCTTAGAGAATGATTTCCAAGTCCACAGCTTCCCTGGGCTCCTCGGTCTCGTAAAAGGACCTGGCCGGCACCCTGAGTTACACAGTCACAGCTGGGTACATCTTCTGTTCACTGTTAGTGTGCGGGAAGGGGGCCTGGATCTGCCGGTAGCCCGTCTGTAGGCTGTCCAGGAAAGGGGGCACGGGGGTCATAGGCACAGAGTCATGCTGCACCGTGTACCCCACATATGGGGGGTGCAGGTACTGCCCTTGATGGGGCACAATCTGGGTGGCCTGCTGACAGTTCAGCACAGAGAAATTTGTGGGCATGTTGACATACACGTTGTTCATGGTCCCCTCGGGCAAGCAACAGTTGGTCTGGGACCTTGTTGGGGGTGCCCGGGCCCCTGAGTTGGCGCTGGAGCTGGAGCTGGCCGCTGTGCTGGACTGGCGGGAGGAGGACCCTCGCGAAGTGCTGCCGCTGGGGATCATGGGGATGGTCTCCATCAAGCGGTTTCCTCCAGGGGCGCGGCTCTGCTGGGGCTCCTGCTTGGGCCGGAGACATCTGCAGCAGCAAGCAGCCACGAGTGACCCCAAGATGATGAAGGCGACAAAAACAGACCCAACGATGAGGAATGGCACGTAGATGGGGACTAAAGGATAAAAAAACACATTGTGAGGATTTACTCTCAGAATGCAGTGAAAATCAGTATCTGGCAGTGGGGATCCATAAATGAGCGGCGGCCACACCCACAACTACGGAACTGGTTTCGGGTGCTCCCGTTGCTGGGCAGGTTTGTGCCCTCATTAGCAGCCCACCACACGCACCGTCCTTCATCAGGTACTTTGGAAAGCAGCTAAGGCCCTACAGGGAGGGCAGATCAATGCCCCCAAAGCAAAACGGTTAACATTCACAGCTAGGCTTGCCAACTGCAACACACTGGCTGAGAACAGTGTCCAATCTAGCACAAATATGAATTTAAGGTTTTGAGACTTCTACGGTTCCTATTATAACTCAACCGCCTGAACTGCCCTAACAGATAGTTGTAGGGTCTGCATAGAAGTGAATTATATTATTTAAGAACCTCCCCCCACCCAGAATGATATTCTTTGCAAACCTCCTTTGCCACTGCAGAGCTGTTCTTTTTTTTTTTCCACGGGCAAATAAATAAAAAATTGAGGGGCACCTGGGTGGCTCAGTCCGTTAAGCATCTGCTTTTGGCTCAGGTCATGATCTCAGGGTCATGGAACTGAGCCCTAGGTGGGGCTCCCTGCTCTGCAGAGAGCCTGCTTCTCCCTCTGCCCTTCCTGCCCCCCGCTTGTGCTCTCTCACTCTCAAATAGCTAAAATCTTTAAAAATAAATAAGTAAACAATTTAAATCCAGCCATGACCATTTTCAAATCTGTCATGTAAGACACAAAGGTCAAAGAAGGGTAAAAACCAAAACAAAACAATAACAAAAACCCCAAAACACCTCTCCTCTCACTTGCCTAGCTGAGCACTGGACCTTGGGCCCACCACGTGCGCCAGATGGTGGAAAGGTGAAGTGACTTATGTAGAGAGAAGCTATTCCAGGCCGCAGGTGAGCATGAAGCAAGGTACCAAGAAGAACAAATGTTGGGTGCAACCAGACCCAGGAAGAAGAGCTGTGCAGGCAGACCCAGGGTGGCTGGGGTGCAGCAGTTACACCTGAGCTTTAACAACACTCGGCTCTGTGGGCAGAACTATAAAGCCTGCGAACCAGAAAGCGGTGGGCATCATCTTTAACAAGTGAGGTGTATTCTGAAAAATAACATGAAAGTGACAACATGAAATAACATGAAAATAACAACTTTCCTCTAGTTGATAGTGAGTTCCATTTTTACACATTACTGAAAACAAGCTTCTGGAAGTCATGGGGCTGGCACACTAGGGCTTTTGGAAGCTAGACACACTGGCTGATGGGGGCAGAGAATGGGGAGAGAGGAGGCTGCAGAATGATTCGGAACCACTTCTGTGGACTTCCACCCTGTGTCACCAAGAACCAGTTCTTTGATATGCTCCTGCCCATTGCCTTGACTGTTTGATTGGAAAATACAGAAGGACGGGAACTAGGGCTCCCCAGTTCTGGCCAAGCCCAGGGCCAGCGCAGTGATACAGGGTGGCGCTTGGGGAAAAAGCCCAGTTCTCCTGCACCTCTGAGGTCAAATTCGTGAAAAACCCTTGGTCTGTCTGCTAGAGCAGCGGCCTTTCTAATTACGCTCTGATACTCCCGACGGCAGTTTCTAGAATACAGTGCCACATGGAGACCTGGAAGATCATGCCTTGTGAAGTAAGACATACTTTATAGGGCATCTCATCAAAGGCTGACATCTGAAGATTTCCTAAACCTTCAGTGCTGAAGAAGAAATACTGTATTTATGTGATGCCCCTTTCGCAGATGGGAACACTTGCTCCAGAGCCCACAGAGCCTAGTGGGTCTTCAGATGATGGGACTGTTCTAATCACAGGCTAGTAATAACGCACTGGAGCAGTGGGTGCAGGTGATAAATATTTCATTCTCAAAATTAAGATACCAGCCCTAAATAAGTTATTAGGATGTAAACAAATAAAGGTTAAAAAAAGAAAGAAAAAGAAAAAGAAAGGACACTCCAAACATTATAGCAGAAACTAAACTAGCTGGAAGCAGGGTAAGTCCACAGAATGAGTTTTGGGGAGAAAGAACTGTTCTCCTTCCAGGATTTTTAATTGGGAGGGTTAATGACTTTCTGCGCTCCCATAAATTCTCTTCACTGGCTGATTAGGCATGTGGTCCTTCTTGACCGGAGAAGTGAGAGGAATGGAATTTTTAGGAAAAAAATGTTTCAAAGTAGAGTGAAGAAGGCACCCACACACAACACACAGACTCACAAGAAGTCAGCCGTCTCCTGATTTGTCCAAAATCAACCCAACTATTGAGAGACCACTAATGAGACCAACTTAGATACATCAAGGTAGGGTTCTGTCTTTGGCTCATTTCTCAAGGCTCTCGTCAACCACCGTATACCCCTGCAACCATGAGCTGGAGGATGAAGACAGCAGCTTTTCTGGAATTATTACCCTCAGTTCTCCATTCTTTAGATTCAAGGCAGCGGAACAGTAGGAGTAGCTTGCCCATCAAATGCCAGCCTGCAAAGGTAACAGCACTGAAGAGAATTGCAGCTTATCAGGCCCCGGAGACAGTCCTGGAAACTCAGTGCCAAAGCTCAGGTAGCTTAAACCCTGGCTTAGGGTGCTGGTAAAAATCCTCTCCTTCACATAACCAGCTGCAGAAGGAGGAGATGTCCATTCCGTGACCTGTTTGCCATTTAGCCAGGTGCTAAATCCTCCCTCCCATCCACATATTGGGGTAGACCCTCAAGGGAGGCCATCTGTGAGGTTTCTGAAGAATGGAGGAAGTGGAACCTATCAAATTCGTTCCTGGATTTGTTTATGTTTCCAGCTCTGGCTTTGGCAACTTGAAAAAATATATAATTTAAAAAAAATCAAACCCGCAAAGAGCAAGCTTGGACACGGCTCTAATGTCACACCTACTAAGTCTGACGTGGTCAGAACTGTCCAGAAACCAGAGAGGCTTGCAGGCCAGTGTTCAGAGGATGAGAATGCCCGGGGTTTGGCAGAATGCATTACCCACAGGAAGGCCCTGAGGAGGTGCCTGCCTTCTGCGGAGCCTTTATGGTTGGAAGCGCCCCCAGAACACCCTCTGGCTGGGGTCGCGCCCTCACGGCTTTCCGGAGTACCATCAAGACATTCGCCCTTATTACAAGTTAGACCCGCAGAGACAGGAGGTGTGGGAGGAGAAACAAAGGTCCCTGGCCAAGAGGGACGCGGCGCTGTCTGCATCCCACACTGCCTTATGTATGTGGTTTTCTTCGTAAAATCCAAGCCAACCCACTCTTCAGGTGACAGATGGGGAGACTGAGGCTCGGGGCGTGAAATGGTGCTCCACTTCGCACAAGTTAACAGCTGGGCCAGGATGCAGACACCACCTCCTGGTCCAAGACCTTTTCCGAAATTCCCGTGCTGATTCCTTTCCCGTCACGCCCCGGCGAAGCTAACCTTCCTCCCCTCTCGCGCCCGGACCCGCCTGCCCTACCTGCCGAGCCGTCTGGGCCGTCTTTGTCCGCCCGACCGGGCTCGCCGGCGCCCTGCTGGCGGTCGTTGTCGCAGCCGCCCTGGTCCAGGCGCGCCTCGGCGCTGGAGCAGCAGTAGCGCAGCGCGCAGCTGCCGCAGCAGATGGTAGCGTCGCCGCCGTCGAAGCGCTCGGGGCACTGGAAGCCGATGCGCCAGACGCCCTGCGCGTCCAGCCAGCCGTGGCAGTACTCGCCGCTGGCCCGCGCCCCCGCCGCCAGCAGCGCGGCCAGCAGCAGCTGCAGGAGCGAAGCGGCGTTCCGAGGGGAGGCGGCGGGCGAGCGGCGTCCGCCCCACATGGCACCACCCTGGGCGCGGGCGGCGCGGCTCCAGGGGGCGCAGAGAGGTCTCCGGGAAGTCGCGGTCCCGGCCACCCGGCTCCCAGGGGTGCGGAGGCCGGGACTTGGACGCCCGAGGGTCCCTTCCGCGGCGCTCTGCAAGCCGCCCTCTGCCGCGACGTCCAGGAGCTGACGACGCCGGGCTGCCTAAGCCATCCCTCCCTCGGCCGGGCGGCCCGGTCCCTCGTGGGGCTGTCTGGAGAGCGGGCACTCGCTGATAGAACTCTCTGGGCGCAGTCAGAGGGGCCGCGGAGCTGCCGTCCCGCAGCCCCCGGAGGCTTCAGCCACGACGGGATCCTCCCCGCGCATCCCCGAGGGGACGCTCACTCCCGTTGCCGACCTGAAGCCAGGTCGCGGCCGCGGACTTTGAAAGCCTCGGCGTCCCGCGCACGAGTCGGGGAGAGTCTCCCCTCCTTTATTCCCCTTTCGGGCGGCGAGAAGGGGCCGAGAAGGCGGGCAGCGCGCTCAGGACTCCCGGCAGCAAGTACAGCGGCCGGCCGTGCTCAGCCTCCCCAGCTCCGAACTCGGTCCGCATGGCTCCGGCCGCGCCGCCCGGGCAGCGCTACCCTGCGCGGGGCTGACGGCCAATCCTCCCAACGCACGCAGCCGTCCGGGACCCGAGCGACAGTCCGGCGCGCCCCCGCCGCCGTCCGGGGAGCCTGGCTGGCTGGCGGCGGCCGCGGCTGCTGCTGGGCGCGGGTCCAGGCGGGCGGCTCGCCCCCGGCTTCCCTACTCCGCCTCTCCGGCTGCAGCTCGCTCCCACGGGCGCCGGGCAGCCTCCGACCGGCTCTCCCTCTCTCCTTGGCCGCCGCTTGCCTCGGGAGGAGCGCACCGATGGGAGCCTCCCACGGAAGTTTCAGTCCTCGGGGCTGCGGAGGAAACCGAGCGCGAACAGTCCCGGCGCCCGGCACCGAGCCAGCTCCGACTGGGCTCGCCGTGGCGCCGCGCGGCACTCTTATTAGGGGCCGGCGGCTGCCGGGACGCGCATGCGCGCTGCGCGGGCTTCCCTCCTCCCAGGGACGCCCGGAGACGCCCGGAGCCCTTCACCTTCCGACGCCGGTGGGGCCGCGGGCCGCGGGCTGGCATGGGCGCGGGAGAAAACAGAACTCAGACGATCTGGGCCTTCCTAACGCAAGAACGGCGATCATGGTTATAAAAGCAAACTAAGCTGGCTTATAGGAGATCCTCGGCGTTCGATTTGATTGTCAAAACTTCCCCAAGGAAGGATTATAATTCCTTCCCGTTTTACAGCCGGTGAAATTGCCACTCAGATGAACTGTCTCTCTCAGCTTCCACCAGCTCGTGCCCTGGCCACGGCTGGTCACAGACCACAAACGTGAATGCTTGTGGAAGGGTTCGCACGCCTGGGCCTGCGTCTGGTGGGCTGTGTCCGGGCTTCCGCCAGGTGGAACAGAGAGACTTCAGGAAAAACATTATAAATTTGGCCACTGTCTAGATGATCTGTGTCGAATTTTCTCTTTCCATATTTGGCCGTGGCGGTTTACTGGGTTTAAGCAGAAAGGTGCCTCCGTTCAACATTTGGCCTTACGGGTGCAGACAGCTGCAGTGAGGAAGAAAACAAGGTTCAGACAGACCCGAAACGCGGCTTTGATGAAGGAGAAATTAATAGCTTCTCCCTTGCGGAAGCTAAAACAACAGGTGCTGATGCTATTAAAGCAGTAGTGATTATTTTTAAAAGAACTAGTGACCCTTCCGACACGGTCTGGAAGTCAGCAGACCTGATATCTCGGCCCAGCCCTACCAGTAAAGAAGTACTGTATTTTGTTGGCCTCGGTTTCCTCCTCTTCGAGGTGGAACCTGGGATGTGATAACTGCTGAAGTCCCTTCCCAGTCCTCGACTGTAGAACACAAGGCTATTGCATTCACGGCAAAGACACTGCTGTTCAACCAACCACTAGAAATTTGTGTATGCCTGGGAAATGCACAGACTCAGACGTGGTTGATACTCTTCCACTCAGCCCAACAAAATGAAATCAAAGGAAAAAAACCTACCCTTTCTCTACCCCGAAAGAACACCTCATTCTTCTTCTTCTTCTTTTTTTTTTTAAGAACACCTTATTCTTTTCAATAAGCTCTCTCCAAGAATTGCGTTTAATTTCATGGATCTTGGGAGGTTATTTTCAGCTTCATAAAATTATGAATTTTAAATACACCGGCCACAAATTTTCTTAACCCAATATGTTAACAAGATTTCAATGTCAAATTATTCATTCAACAAACACATATTACAGTCTTACAGTAAGTATACTGCTCTCTGTTGGGTACTAGGGATTCATGGAGAATCCAGATTCATGGAGAATCACGGACATCCCCTTCAAAGGGAGCTCAAGGTCTCTGGGGCAAAGCAAATTGGACAAAGAGACAGAGAGTTGAATAAACAAAGATGATATAAGTCTGATAAAAGCTGTGACTGATGGTGTACTGAGTCAGTTTAAGCACATAACCCGGGGGTGAGGAGGGTAGGGAGTCCAGAAAAATCATCAGAAGAATGGCATTAAATTAGACCAGAAGAAAGTGAGGGAAGACCCATTTATTTCAGGTTAAGTCATTTTCTTAAAAGATCCTATTAGCTACATTCACTGAAGGCTTATTCTGTACCCAGCCCTCTGCTCAGGTTTACATGCATAGCCTCATGGAATCCTCGCAACAACCCTATGAAGAAGACAGAGACACTATACTCAGTTTACTAGTGAGAATAATTTGCCCAATCCATGCAGATAGAAATTGTCTGGTTGCCTGGACTACACCAAATTCTGGCCCACTCCACCGTACTGCCGGTCCCCACAATCTCCACTGCCATCAGCCCGGGGTTAACTGTGAACTCCATGCCAATCACCAGATGGTTAGGTATCATTATTATCCTATGGCACCATACATTCATTAGGGTGCTGTCTAGAGGGTTAATACCTGATTTTTCCCCCCCTTTGGAAAAAAAAAGTGAATGAAAAATAATTATACATTTCTCCAGACAGTACCTATACCATACTCTTCTTCTACTATCCTATTATCCTCTTCTCTAAAACACTGACTACTCTTTCTTTATGAAGAAAGCAACATTGAGCATTTTCATATTGGAATTAATTGGGTGGACCCAGTAGTGCCACAGTTCCAACACAATACGTTTTTCCCAAACAGATCACAGTTTAGTCACTGTTAGTAAACTTGGAAGTGCAGACTTATGAATGAATTCATGGTCTTTTTTATTGTTGTGTTCCTTTGTTCCTTGAAAACTAAGGAATGGCCTGGGCCCCTGGGTGGCTCCGTTGGTTGAGTGAAACCAGCTCTTGGTTTTAGCTCAGGTGGTGATCTCAGGGTCCTGATCTCACGGTCACGAGATGGAGCCCTGTGTTGGGCTCCGTGCTCAGCTAGGAGTCTGCTTGTGATAATTTTTCCCACTCCCTCTCCCTCCCGCTCTTCTCCTCCCCCACCCATTTGTGCTCTATTGCTCTCTCTCTCTCAAATAAATAAGGGAAATCTTTAAAAAAAAATTAAGGACGGGCCTGTTTCATAGTTACTTCCTATGGTGGTTGATTGTCCTCAAGGCTCAGATCCTTTAAATCACTCTGTGCTCCTCTGGCTTGTTTTTACTTTGATTTCTGTCTCTAGTATGTCATATTAAAATTTTATAAAATAAGATGCCAAATACTTATTGAGCTTCTCTATAGGAGGTACTACTGGGAGATATTAAGTTGGTCTTGTTCCTTCCATAAGAAATTTCCTCACTGTCCTTAACAGACAGCCTAAACGAATTTTACTAGTCGCTTCTGAGAAACTAACTAGAAATCATAACATACAGGTAGTAGTAATAATAGTTTATTATAATCCAAACTAAATGTCAGGCAGTCTGCCAAAACATATTTAAACACATATGAAAGAGTGCCCTCTTCCCTTTCAAAAAGCTTAATTCTATAGACATTCACTGCGAAAGTACATTTTCAGGTAATTTTGTCTTTCAATCTGCCTGTGACTATGAATAAAATGCAATTGATTTAAATGCAAACTGCTGACATAGCTTCAAAAGTAAAAGTAGAAAGTCCTCTAACTAAAGCAATGATTACTTATACCTTTACTAACTGGAGTTGACACAAATCATACGGAGGTAATCATACTTCATTTGGCGGGCAGTTCTAAACGAGGCAAGATCTCCAGTGTTCTGCAAGCTTCAGTAAGAGCAGAAGGTTCTTACCATCTGTACGCCAGTCAGCAGTCTGTTTAGGAAGAATGGCTTTCCCTGGGTTCATTCATTTTTTTTTTCTTCCTCTTTTATAAATAGGAGTAGTATTGAAAATTCACATTTGGTTGGCCAGAAGTTCTTTTAAGTTAAAGTGTTTGTGTTAACAAATGAGACCTCAAACCCAAACAAATATGCTAATTTACATTTCTTTTAATTTTGCCTCGTGGTTACCTAACCTCATCTGAAAATAAAAATGGTCATAAAATTTTGAAAAGAAAAATAACTTTCTTGTTGCTTTTAAATTTCTCATCTTTCATCCTCCTATTTTTTTCCCTTGTAATTAATATACTGACTTTTAGCAAAGTAATTTCCGTCCTTTAAATTCTTTTTTTTCTTGGGGCGCCTGGGTGGCTCAGTCAGTTAAGTGACAGACTCTTAATTTTGGCTCAGGTCATGATCTCAGGATTGTGAGATTGAGCCCCGCCTCCTGTCCTGCACTGGGGCTCCAGGCTTAGTGATGAGTCAGCTTCTTTCTCTCTCTCTCTCTCTCTCTCTCTCTTTCTCTCTGCCCCCACCCTTGCTCGTGCATGCACACTCTCTCTCTCTCAAATAAAAAAATAAATCTTAAAAAACTTTTTTCTCATCTCACATTGACCTTAAACATTTGACACACTTCTCTCCCTCCCCCACCCTCACCCCTAACTCCACAGTTTTAATGAACCATTTTTTAATGTCGATCTTGATGTTTACTATTGTTCTATTTTCTTTTTGGTAATATATAGTTACAAGCCAGCCAGGACTTCTTGCAGGAAAGCTGGAATTTCTAGAAGGGTGGCATAAACAAAATCAACCTGGCATTAAAAGCGCACAGCAAATATCT